ATCGAGTACAAGTACCTGTGGAAATTTCTATTTGCCCCCCCCCCTTCCCAAAAAAACTGAAATTGTTTTCTACGGGCTTGACAACAGGTACTTGTGGACAGACTCCCCCCCCCCCCCCGATATTTAACCCCGGGGCTTGTTGGACATTTTTTCCACAAGTTATATTTATTACACTTACTCATCATGTGTACCATATGAAAAAATCGTGAAAACCCCAAAATAATCGTTCCACACAAAAAATGCCTCACTATGTATAGTTAATTTTTCATATTTCTTGATGAAATTAACATTAATAAAATCAACACAAAATTAATACCTTATTACAAATCACTTGAATTTATCATAAAGCAGAAAATCTGTTCTGCGGGCTTCAAGGCCAGCTCAGGAACCTAAAGATGTCCTCATTTTCCAAGTCCAGTACAGAACGTAAATTAAATGAAATAAATCACACGATCACTGGGAAGAACTCAAAGAAAGAAGACTCTTGAGGAAAAGATATTTTGATTCGACTTATAGACTGAAATAAACCGATATTCTCTTTTTGCAACTCTTTCCTGGTGCCCTGGGACTCTGAATGTAGGATCAGTATTTTTCTCACAGGTCCGTTGTACGGATTGTACGGGGGGGGGGGGGGGGGGGGGGGGCAGACCTTCTGAAAATAGTATTTTGTTGTAGTTTTAATATCTAAATTTTGATTTAGTTGTTGCTTGCACCCTCCCCACTCTTTGTTTCTCTACGGTCATACATAGGCGAATCCCAGCAAAAATGTAATGACCCCCCCCCCCTCCAACACACACTTTTTTTTTAAATGTGTATTGCGATAGGACTTAAAATTGGAAAACATTTTCTGTGTATCTCTACATCGAAAAATATAAAACAAATATTTTTTTTTATATTTCCTTTTTAAAACAACATAGATAATTATGCATAGCTAATTAAATACTGAATTAAATATTTATCTTTGCAGACAATATGCTCTGGGTTATAGAACATGGTGTGAAAGCGTATCGTAATGCACCTTGTAATCCTTTGGATTTTCAGATTTAAGGCCAATGCGAAAACCCAAAGACGCCGACATTTTATTATGCTACTGTAATCGAAGATCCGGGGGGCATACAGTTCTTGTCCTGTCCACCTGTCTATTTGTCTGTTAGACTGTGTTAGCCTCTATGTCCGCAAAAACTTTAACTATGCCCATAAAATTTGATTGGTTGGAACTACTGCTTTCATATTTCTTATGTGTATTCCTAGTAACAAGGATTTCCTTCAGGTACCAACATATTTGACCTCTTGACCTTGAACTTGGAGTTTGATCCTCTTTCGCAAAATTTTACCAAACTATAACCTTGACCAAAACTTTTGAACAATTGGTGCTATGGCTTTTATACTTCACATCTGTATCCCTTGTGATAAGTCTCCTCCTTGGGTATAAATATGTTTGACCATTTGACCTTGACCTTGGAGTTTGACCAAATTTTAAACAACTTTAGCCTTGACAATAACTTTTGAATGACTAGTACTAGGGCTTTTATATTACATAGGTAATTTTCTTGTGACAAGGCCTGTCATTGTATACCTTTAATTTTGACCATTTTACCTTGACCTTTGAGTATGTCCTACTTTTGAAAAACTTTAACCTTGGTTTTAACTTTTGAACAGTTGGTGCTAAGGCTTTTTTAATACCACATGTGTATTCCTTGTAACAATTAAGACCTTCCCTCAAGTACAAACAATTATGATCCCTTGACCTTGGAGTTTGACCTTTTAAAGAAATTAACCTTGGCCATAACTTTTAAACTGTTGCTGCTGTGGCTTTCACACTAGTATATATTTCACAGTATATTCTTTGTTCAAGACCTTTATTTGGGTAATAACATTTTTTTTTATCTTTTGATCTTGACCATGGAGTTTGACTTGCATTTGAGAAACTTTTAACTTTTGCCATAAGATGCCATATGGGGGCATCAGTGTTTCAAAAATCACACGTTGTTCAGTTTCCAAATCGGGCATAAAACATTTACAATGATCCTTTAAAGCAGTGAGTTGAACCTAATAAATTACGACTATAGAAATTATGATAATTTATTTCGATGTATGGTCTAAAAAACGTTTATTATACCTCTGTGAAAACTAGTTTACAAGTGAAAAATCACCAGTAAAATAGAATTTGATTGGCCGAGAAAGTCACGTGTCCATCATGTTTGCCCTGCAACAAAACGTCGTGTTTCACGATTGTGACGTCACAATTAAACGAGTGAGGAGTTAGATTGTTTATAGCGATCGACGCTGCTAACTTCGTTCGCGCGGTAACAACAACTAAAAATTCACCCCAAAAAATCACCTTAATTAATGGAATTGCATACAGATAGTAGATTAAACGTTCTTTGTTAAAATGTTTGCACTTTTCAAAATTCGTTTATGGAAATACAGCTAACATACGTCATGAGACTTCACAGTCTAGACGTTCCAAATGTCTCGTGCTGCTTGAAGAGGCGGATCTTAAAATTAAGTGAACAATGCACTCGCCCAACGGTCGCACCGTCAACATATTATCGTTGATTGATTGTGTCGATTTAAATGTGTAAAAATGTAATGGTGTTTGAATGTTACTGGTGTGATCACACAAACTTGTCACGTAGGAATTTTTTTTAATGAAACGAGGCTATTGGTGTACTTGTAACTTACATCTCTTTCATATCGTTCTCATCAAATGCATGTTTGCTTTATTCATTGGATCTCCTTTGTAATTCCTGCATTTTGGTTAATTCGGTATATAAACAATTTATTGCATAATAGTGAGGGAGACATAAAGATTTCTTCGCAAATGAAAAATCATATTTCTCTCGGGCGTTGCCTTCGGGGAGTATGATTTTTCATGGGCGAAGAAATCTTCATGTTGCCCTCGGGGAATATGATTTTTTATGGGCGAAGAAATCTTCATGTCTCCCTCACTATCATGCAATAAATGCAAACTGTGAACTTGTCAATTCCGAAACACACAAAAGGGTATCGCTGATATCATACAGAGTGTATCATTGCCTTGATCATGCCCATAGGAAGCAAATTCAGGGGTTTTTTTTGGGGGGGGGGCACAGCCATACATTTTCAGTTGACAGTTGAGGGGGCACTACTACCATAAATTTCCTGACAAGCAAAAAAAAAAAAAAGGTCACCAACTACCAAAAATTCCTTGTCAAGCAAAAAAAAGAAGGTTATCAGACGTTTTTATTGAGGTGGCACAAGCTATAGTATCTATGTCTACTATAGTAATCTATATATCGGCAAAATTATTGGGGGCACGCCCCCCCCCCCCCCCCCCTCGGTTCCTACGGCAATGTTGATTAAATTTAGGGTCACTAAGGAAAGAATGTTTTGACTGGATGAATGGTCTGAAAGAACATATGTTAACTTGTCGAGTCGGTAACACATATATGGGGTTTGCTTATAACCAGAGTGTGTCATGGTTTGATACAAGGTCATTTGAACGAGTTCAAGGTCATCAACGGAGAAACAACATTCCTTAACTGTCTTTCTACTGGTGAGACATTGCAAGTTGATACTCCTTACAAGATTGCTTATAACCTTAGAATGTGGCATGACCTTGACTCAAGGTCACGTCTTCTTGTTCGCAGCTCCAACGGAAGACCTACTCGTTGCTCTGCAACGAGCTCTGCTCTAGTTTGCTATATTTTTACTAAGGAAGCTTTTATATTCAGACTGGAGCTTGACATACCTTGTATTACCGGTATGTTTAGGTGGACTAATGCCTGGAGAGGGCTAAGTGTTTCAAGAGTTCATGCAAACGATAATTAATTCAACTTTACAACAAAAAAAAAGAGAAAGAAAAAAAAGAGGTACTTGGCATTTAAAACTTGACAGGGTGTCGCAGTTGTATAACAGCTGTACAAGTTCCTGGCTTTAATACCTGTAACCTCTGGGTATAAAATAATATTTTTCGTTAATTATATGTTAGATCTTATACATTCCTTAATTGCTTGCCTTAGTATAAAATAATATAATATGTTAGATCTTATACATTCCTTAATTGCTTGCCTTAGTATAAAATAATATTGGAAATCCTATACATTCCTCAATTGCTTGCCTTATAAATCTTTGATCTATTTACATATATATAGGTCAAATAAGTGCAAACATGTCACAGTGATTAACCATTAGAAAACAGAAACCAATATCTTGTAAAAATCTTTAAAAGTACAGTAGATTGTTAATTTTAAGTACCCAGGTAAAAAAATGTAGACTGTCTTTTATTCCCTGCACCACCTTACAATAAATGTAATAAACAGTATAAAATCAATGTAGTTCGATATGGAATTTTACTTGAGATACAGGGTTAGTATCCCTCGCAACGAAGTAGGAGGGGATATAATAATGCACTCTTTTGAGTGTGTGTGGGTTAGCAGGTTCATTTGTAAGAGAACAAATAATTTACATCCAGATTGCTAACTTATGTAAAAGTGAACTCTCTTGAGAGGGGATGCTTTGCTTTATGGTACCCTTGTTTTTCATTGCTTTGTGGAATACATGTAATTAAAATTCATGGGGGCCAATTTTCATGGATTGCTCAAATTTTACAAGTTTGAGGGTACATAATTTTGTGTATATTCACTCATATCTACAACAGGAATGATGACTCTTAAAACCCCAATTATTGATTCTATGAGGATGCGAATTCGTGGATGCAGGGATCCACGAATATTGTGCAACCACGAAATCTAATGATTCCACAGTAAGTTTCATATTCAACAACAAAACACTGAATATCCTATACATATGGTGCATTGATTGTTTTCTACTGTTAAATTTACATGTCTGTAAAGATTCATCTTCTAGAACAATATGCATCAATTTGTGAACTTTTTTGTGTGTGTTGTATTGTGTGGCTTTTTTCCATGTGGTATTGTGTTGGTAAAGCAAAGCCAGAACTCCTGGTTGAAAAATGTTAAAAAAAAAAAAAAAAAAAAAAAAAAAAGCACAAAACATTTATATAAATGAAAATTTTATTCTCTTATTTGAGTTATAAATAAAGTGATAAAACAGGACTGCCTTTGGAATGGGCACAGAAACATGATACAAATTGATACAATACTCTCGCAATGAACTTCAACAACACACTATATCAATATTTCTTCTACATGTATTAAGACTGTCCATGAATACAAACCAGATTTTATTATGTAGAGATCAAATAAGATGAAATCAGAAAAATAATTGCACTTTGTCTTTACAATTTTTTTTTGTTGATCTTTGCTCGATGTAATACATGTACTGGTGAATGAGGCAAAATACAGATAGGAATTTGTTTGTTAAAAATTCAGATTTTAATTCACTCTCAGCATGAAATAATGATATCTAAGATCAATTTCTATGTTATTACATATTCCTAGGAATGATTGATGATCATGAATAGCCAGTGTCAGTTTAGTAAGAATTGTAAAAGTACAGCCTAGCACAGTCTCGGCACTGATCGCAACCACAGCTACAACCACCGGTTAGGAAATGTATAAATTGTAAATATATGAGCAAATCTAAAATAGTGTGGATATTAAAAATTGATAAAAATGATAAAATAACCATTTTCACATCCATATTAAGGAAATCCATATATCACATATACATTTGTAAAATAACATGAACAATAAATAAACACACAAGTCATTTTTCCCTCACCATTTGGATATTAAAGTACTATGTGCTGCATCAAGAAAGACAACCATAATGGGGGGGGGGGGGGGGGGAGGCTCAAGTACAGTAAATATTGCTGATACTGTATGTAATATGTTTGTATGTTGCTTCACAATCAGTTAAGATAACGATAAAAACAAAAGGAATTAACGACAAGGTCAAAAAAGAACCCTGCAACATACTATTCTGAATTAATTTTAAACAAATATTGGCCATAATAAATACTATATATACAGCACATGAGTATACATACATTTTGTACCAATGTAAGAGATTATGAAAGCTTAAAATAACAAAACTTTGTACATCTCATTCACCGAAGAAACATTTTTTCAGTTACGTGTAAAACCTGCTAGTACAATGTCTAATATCACAGATATCAACCTCAAGACCTTCACGTACAAGTAACACTTGGTTACCCTCAAGGCATAACTCCAGAAAAATAGAAAGTTATTACTTCAAGTCCAAAGTCCCAGACCAGAAGGAAAGACTGAAGTCCAAAACTTACTTTAATAAAACATACATGTTCTCCCTGGTACTCTTAGGTATCTGGATTTTTCATACACCATATTTTTTGTAGTGACCAAGTTTTCTTGAGCAATCTAGAGCTAGTAATACTTTGTACTTTATGTCAATATGAACTCAGACAACAGCTTTGTAAATTTCACAAGTTATAAAGATTCTTTTACTATAAGTCTCAGTCAAAGTCGTCACTAGATTGTGCTGTCACTATAAGTCCCAGTCAAAGTTGTCACTGGATGCTGCTGTCACTATAAGTCCCCATCAAAATGGTAACTAGATAGCTCCGTCACTATAAGTCAAAGTCGTCACTAGATGGCGCTGTCACTATAAGTCCAAGTCAAAGTCATCACTAGATGGCGCTGTCACTATTTGTCATTAGATGGCACTGTCTCTATAAGTCCCAGTCAAAGTCATCACTAGGTGGTGATGTTTGATACAGAGACAGCCTGATAGCTCGTTGTCGTTTCTCCATCCCCATCTGAAGCGCCATCATGACGTCCTGATCACGTCGTGACATCCTCCGACTCTGATGAGGAGACTGTGATCGACTTCTCACGTACCGTGCAGCACTTCTACCCAACACTGCAGGAGGTACATTCTTCTGCATCGCACGGCTCCTGCGCTCGAACTGATTTCCACGACTGTCTGCCGAGTGGCTACGTGAATGGGGATGATGAGGGGCTGTCACATTTGGGGTAGTGATAAAATTGAGCTTTTCAAAGTACTTCCTAGCTGCCTGTCCTTTGGGGGACAGTAGCCAGTTATCCGTGGAGTCGTGTATACTGGGTCGACGGTGATGAGGGTTTTTCTCTGGGTCTGAGGCTAGGTGGAGTTGACTTGGACTCTTGTACACATGCTGTATTGGGTCGTAGTCGGAGGCATTGAAGTCCTCCCCAAGACCATCGGGAGAGTCAGAGCTGAAGGAATTGTTAAATTTCTTAGAGACAGGGGAGGAGGAAGATTCTGGTGCGAATTCACCACTCCTATAAATAGTCAAAAAATAGTCAAGATTTAATGAATTCACCACTCCTAAAAAAAGTCAAGATTTAATGAATTCACCACTCCTAAAAATAGTCAAGATTTAATGAATTCACCACTCCTAAAAATAGTCAAGTTTTAATGAATTCACCACTCCTAAAAATATAGCATCAAGATTTAAATAATCCATCTTGTACTGTTAGTGTTTTACAAGTTGATTTTCTTTTGATCTCAATGTAAAAATTCATGAAAAGTAAACTTTGTGTAAAATTGCAGTAAGATTAAATACTTACAAATTCCGCAAGTTTTTGAGTCCAACAGGAACTAACTGGCCCGTACCTAAGAAATACAAATTTGGTAGTCATTATTCCATCTTCTATGATCTATGTACATGTATATAAATAAGATGCCTATCTTGTACTTTTGAACTTCTATCCTTAGGATTCTAATTATTAAAATTATAATCAGTAAGTAATACAGATATTCTCAGCTCATTTATTTTGATGTTCTCAATTAAAATTTCAATAATGAAATAGGTATAAAGCTATATCACGTGTTACATGTATGACCTTAGTCAACGTTTTTATATTGATACTTGTATGAAGACGTGCATAGTATGCTGAGTATAATTTTGAACTAATTTAAAAAATAAATATCTAGCTCTGATTATATAATATAAAGTTGAAGCTGATAAACAAGATTCTATTTACTGTTTGATAGCTATATATAATAGCGTTATAGGCAGAGAAGTATTACAGAAAGATCATTATGAAGAGCACTTTGTAATTAAGATTTGAAAGTATAAGACTTAGAAGCACTGATCCATTCATGATCAAGTAATTAGTGGTCATCAGCCTAAGGCACGTCTTTAAAACTATGAAATTAATAAATGTTTACTGTAAATAACTTTTTTTCACACTGAGTACTTTATTTTCGTGTAATAAGGAGACAATCTGCTAGCAAAAAATTTCATTCTTGTGTATTTTCTATTGCTATATATACAACAATAAACAGAATTCATGAAACACCAAAACCTATCTTGAGAAAACAAGGTGTCATGAAAATTTGGTGATTGATTGTATGTACATGTATCTATATTTACTTCATAGACCCTACCCATAATCTATGTCATTATCACTGTTCAAGTTTAGTATAAAATGAAGCTTAAAAAACAAGTAAATCAACTTGATGAATATATAAATTTATAAGTATCTGTCATATCAAGAAGAAATTTAAACTAAAAATGATAGTTACAGCACATGCAATTTTCTATTTCACTAATGGTAATTAAATTAAACCAAATACATTTATTTTCTGTCATATCTGTATTCATAAAGTACAATTAAATTTTTGATTTAAAACAGTCTAGTAAAATCATATTCTTAATTAAAACAGTTTATTCCATAAGATTAAATACTTGTGATGCAATTGTTGATTGTTATTTTGTTAGTAAAGAGAAATTCATTTTAAAATGTGATAAAAACAAAAGCAGAAAGTAGAAAAAAAAATCTTTTGTACATTTTACGTTCTGTATATGAATGAAAAACTTGCATGGTTAGAGTACACTATATTCCTTGACATGCTTAGAATCTAGTTAGAATATTAATAAATTAGTTGTATTAGAGAGAACAGGATATAAAGGGTGGTACCACACACACAAAGGGCTCCCTAATATGTGAATTCAGGTAGGAAAACTGAAACAATATAATCAAATCTGTTACTATGGTAACCCTTCCTTGCATATAACCTGTACTACTTAAACTTCAGAGAGAATCCATTTTCTGTACATATTTGATGTTTTAATTATCAGAATCTGCACCAATGATTTTCAATCAACCTCAATTTTTTCCCAAAAATCTTAATATGACATTAGTTCGACATTTACAGGGCTAAGAAAAAACAGGTGAAAGACAGGTAAAAAAAGAAACAAAACCATTATGATTTTGACTCTCGTTTGGAAGGAGAACACGCAATTATTTTGACAATCTGTCGGTAACCCTGATTGTTATAGTATATATCTCACAGCAAACTCGTCCTCGTTAAGATCGTTAGAATATGAGATAACATATTTGATTGTTAATTAATCTAATTATGAGAAGATACATTGGCTAAATACTATCCAAACAATATCAGGATTTGACAAAAGTCCGATCTTAACTGATTTTATCACAGAGCTACCTCACTCTTTAAAATGTTTAACAATTCTAGTTACGATGCTGTGCATTTTCATAGAGAAATCTTTTTTCTAACCTAAGACAGGGTGCTGAATCAGTTCTACTAATAGTGAATAGAATTCAGGAGCTGTAAGTCCACTGTTAATCATTTATCTTACCGTCGTCCTGTACGAAGCGTTTAACACAGATGATAAGACGTTTAGACCGGGTAAGGGAGGTAATCTGTTTCTCTGTTAGAGATCGGATGTCCACTCCATCTATCTGTAAACATCAACATGGTAAATATTTAGTCTCATTCATGACAATGCCTTGCACTTATCTGAGCCTATTATTTAAAATGCAGTTCAAATGTTCACGTAAGTCTGGGACAATATAGGATTACCATACTTTAGTTCTGTAAATATTTTGTTATATGTATATAACAACATCTTGAATATCATAGATATGTCAAATTGAGTTGGAAGTCCCAATACAGTAAAACATGCTTACAGTTAACACACTTATAAGTAATGAAATGATGCTTGTGATGAAGTGATTTTCATTCCCCACGACTTTAAAATATATTGTAACTTTAATGGATATAACAAATTACGCTTATAACGAAGCAAAACCCTCCATCCCTGGCACTTCATAATAAGCGCATTTTACTGTAGTTGAATCACTTCTTTTTAATGTATTTTAACTCGATATCTTGAATTTTGGATAATCCCTGTTTTTTCTGGGTTCCATCAACTTTGAAATAATGAAGATTGACTGCATATCATGTATTTAAAATCCTAATTAAATAAATCAGCAGACATAGAATATAATCATATTGCACCAAAGATACCAAAAAATAATCCCACTAAAGTAAAGAACACAGTCACTTAAAAGTAATATGAATTGCAGTTATAACTAAAATTCATCACCTGCATATACATGTATACACATTTATTGTTTACTAGTAAGGCCAAAAAAAATTTATCAATAGTTTCTCAGGCACCGCCGCATCAGGTCAAAAACGGCTGCATTGATCAATTTTATTGACATTTTGAAAGGGGAAATAACTCAATTTTCTATTTTTCCAAGTTGAAAAAGAAAATGAGTTATTTCCCTTTTCATAACAATAATATTAGATAGACGTTTTTATTAGATAAACAATATTCTTCTAGTCTATACAGTCCTTTATTAATTAACTTTTGAAGAAATGTTTAGAATAACATAATTTTAAAATTGAGTACATTATAATTAGTATATTAAGAGAACAAAAAAGTGAGAATCAGTTAATATCATCATTTTGTTGAACGACTGACATGAAAAAAAGATACCTGCTTTAAAAAAAAAAAAACCTGCCTGCCGCATTGAATTTTGAAATTTTTGGCCTGAGAAACTATTAATTAATTTTTTATGGCCTAATATTTAAAACTTTATGTGGTTACCTTGGTGATGTAATCTCCCACAACTATTCCTGCCTTCTGTGCTGGAGAATTTTTGTCAACTTCCTTCACCAGCAAATAACGGATTCTATTTTGCCTGAAAAAAGGAAGTAAACATGGAATATATCAATGTAAATGTAACTCATTTGTTACATGTATCAATAACACTTGATCATCAGCACTAAAGGCAATTAATGCCTTTATAGGAAACAAGTCCCCAAATCCATCTTCATGTATTGATGTATAATATACAAGTGTATATACTGGAACATGATCAAAGAAGGCAGTCAAATGAATGATCTTTTGATGTTTGGGTTTTCCTTTTTTATGCAGTGCCACATACACAAGTAATTAGTTGCTTATTTGAGTGACTTAATAAGCAAGTAAGGCTAATCAATTAATTGAGACAAAAAAAATAATGCTAATGTGATATGGAACATGAAAAAAAAAACAAAACAAAACAAAACAAACCATAAATTACAAACATGCAGACTAAAGTGAAGTGAAGCCTAAAAATGAATTGATTATCCTATTTGCATAAATATTGTAAAAACTGTGATGTACTTACTAAAGATAATCAATATTAATCAAAAACTAAAACATGGGTGCTATGTAAACGAGTTAATAGGAATTACAAACTCTGTAATGCAAATGACAAGCAATTATATTTCTTTTTCAAAAATTAGTACTCACATTTAAAACCAGAACATATGAGTGACAACAACAACAAGGAACCCCCGAAATATTCTTACTACATACTGTAAAGTCAAAACATATCCAAACACAACCAGAATGATTTTTCTCTATTCTAGAGCCATACAATCATGTAAATTAATACCTTTCCTAAATCAATTTACCCAAAGTACTTATTTCCACTAGTTTTTAATTAAGTTAACAGTAAAAAATTAATTCTATATTCTAACTTTGGTGAAAATGACTGGAAATGGTGCCATGGGGGAAAAAAGGAAAAAGTTCTTGCAGATGTTGTGAATATTTTATATTTATATAAAAAAAATTAACTGTTCTCCTCAGCTATGTTTTACATTATACAATTCTTCATCCTCTTAATATCTTAAATACTGTATGAGAGAGAGAGAAAGAGGGAGAGAGAGAGAGGAGAGAGGAGAGAGGTCCAAGATTTTGTATCACACCATCTGCAAGCACTAAACAACAAATACCACTAGTGTTACTTTGCAATGTGAGGAAAAAAAAAAAAATTAAAATCCAAACTTTTTATCTGCTAACTTGCCTTGGTAAATTTTCAGACTTTTTGTTTTCCATAAGGACACTGTTAAAACACAGAGAAATGCTACATAAACTCTGAGCATGCAGACATAAAATAAGAACAAATTTGTATGACAAAGCACTGCTAAATTCAGCAACACAGATCATTCAAAGCTTTTATCATATCAATGTTCAATGTTTCCAGTGATTTGGCGAGTGTTCCTTATAATAAAGTGTGTCATTTACAGAGTTAGCTCTTGGATACCACAGAGTACTAAATCATTGATGTTAAGAAAGCAAGTTGTGAGTCAGTATGACGGATGTCATATCAAATTTTAAAATTAAGGAGGAGCTTCCAGACAGTTCATTAATGCGGACAATTTGGTTGGGAACACAAGTGTCTGGATTACTGAGGTGCAACTGTATGTATAATTTCTTCCCAGTGCAAACCTTGCACGAAGTATGAACTTTCAGAACTCTTATGTGGGCCACAATATTTAGTATGAACTGTGAAATTTTGCTTTTAATGTACATCTTCGTAAGCGGCAATTAAGTCTGTATAATCCTGACTCACTTGCTGGGAACTTGCTTACACAAGTCTTAATGCTGTTTATAGAATCTGTTCAAGAACTTCTTTCAGGTATTGCCACTTTATGTCTTAATACATTTTAAGTGAGATAAAGTACTTTGTACTAGGTTTTACAAAGACCAATGCCAATGTGTAACCAAATTATGACACTACTATAGAAGACTGAAATTTTCACACTTCATTACCGAGTCACCTTGCCCAATTGACATTCCGTCAGGGTAACAATTTAGGTTAACTCTTCCTCCAACAAAACTTTCTGACACAAAAAAAAAAACTTCCAGGTTCTCTCTTATACAAAGTTACTGCATTGAAATGAATTTTACAGACCAATCAAAAGTGAATTTTGTATGTTTACCTATTAGTGGAACATCCTAGCCTACCATCTGCTCCCGGATACACAATGAGCTCAATCTCACGAACCTGTACATCTCGATCTCGAGTCTGATCTGTAAAATTCAAAATTAACATTTATCTTAACATGTTCCATGATATATACATTTCTATCAAAATCATCAAATTATCATAAATCAGCACAGTACTGAGGCTTATATTAAACTCAGGCTTTTGACATACATGTATATACATGATATATATGCATTCCAATTGGTGCATGGCCAAAAGGGGAGTGCACTACCAGCATATATGTCAAAACACTTAACGTAAGAACGTGGAAAAACAAATCATTGTATAATCACTATGCTTACTACTCTTTGTCCTATTCATATATATATATATATATATATATATATATATATATATATAGCTTAACTCTGATTAACTTGCAATGTCAGTGAGGACACAGTGATGGTTCAAAACTACAACATCACCGACTCGTTTAATACTTAAAAGTCCCTAAAATGTTTCAGTCACAAGACTAACAAGAGACTGGAAGATAATCTTGCTACTGATAAATATTTTCATTCTCAAAGGGACTATTAAATTTTTTATTACACCTCTACTGATTTTTTCCCTATATAACATTAGATCATTAGATGTGACTAATTCCCTAGAAATCGTTATGAATGGACTAATCCCCGTGCGTTAGTCAAGTGAGCTAATCCCTGCATCAAAAGCTAATTCCCGGTTATCAGTAATCCTCTACATTTTACTTTTACAATTCAATTTGGTATAATATGTGAATGGACTAATCCCCGTGTGTTAGTTCAGTGAGCTACTCCCTGCTATGAAATCACGCTATCTGAATCCTCTAAATTTTATGTTTGTATCAGTAAAATAAAACAGTTAAAAGTATATCATTGCGAGAGTTAGCAAGATTCCTGAGTTCCCCTCGACCAGGACTATTTCCCTCGGCTTCGCCTTGGGAAATAGTCCTGACCTTGGGGAACTGGAATCTTGCTAACTCCCTCAATGATATACTTTAACTATAAAATAAACTGACTGTTATTGATTTGGAAGTTTTGTACTGCAATGTTTTTTTCCCCTCTGTCTTGAAGTCTGATTCTGGAGATCTTACTGCTGATCAATTGACAACAATAAATGATTGATTATTATATATAGAGACCTGAAAGCTCAATCCATACACTGCATGTCATTGGAAAAACCAATATAAAGAACAGGCTGCCATTCAAAGAGAATAAACAATTAATAGCTTGAGGGAACAGAGATATGATCTACTATAATGACTCATTAAGTTCTTCTGTAATCATCATTAAAATTAATTTCTCTGAAATGCTTCATGAGCTAAACAGTGGAGAATTATGTAGGTATAAACATAATCAATATACGTATTTTTTTTTCTTTTGAAATGTAACATTAAATGCATCCCAAACTAGTATCAAACATCACAAAACATGACAATTTTACCTTTATCATGATAAAACAGCATGCAATACTTAGACATAATGAGAGTGATTTTCCACTGCCCCATGTAGGGCCCAATATAGGCCCCATTCCTGATTGCAAAATTCCTCCCTTTTTCCCAAAAATGAACCCACAAAGTTAACTTGATCAAAGTTCTGACAAAAATCTGAATGAAATGAACACAATTTTAAGAAACTTGGCTTAAACTTTATTATTATTTAATTGATCACTTTCTGATTAAAAGTCCTGAATAATTGAGTAAAAAACCAATTTTATTCATCATAAGTGTTTATTTCTTGAAAAAAATCATGCAAAAAAATTTCCCAATAAGTGATAAAATGTCATTGAATTCCCAATTCCAAAGGCCTGGGTCCCATTCCAAAAATTGAGTGGAAAATCCCCAAGAGCACAAAATCTGCTACATGATTGGTTGATTATAGTTAGAATACTTTTTTATGATTGGCTTACTGTGTCTGTAGCTGGCAGCTGATTGGACCTTCATGATGACATTCCAGGCATTCCTCATCAGTGTTACAGCTTCAGCATGTGACATCTGTCTAAAGTCAGTTCCATTCACCTCCAGAATTCTGTCTCCCGCTCGTACACCCTGTCATACAGTTATACAGAAATATAGCACTATGAAACCTTTGTGCTTCATTTTCATTATCTTTTCATTAAAAAAATATTTATCATTACCCATGATTTACCAATAATAATTTAAAATTTATTCATTCACAGAGTAAAAATATATAATAAACTTAACACATTATAGAGCTTCTGAATCAGACATTTATCACTGCTGGAAAACTTCTTGATCTTAATTATCCTTCTTCTTGATTGGTTAGTAAGTACAGAGGATAAAATGTTACCTGTTCAGCTGCAGGCCCCTCTGGATCCACCACACTGACAATAATATCCGACCCATACTCTCTACCCCCGATTATCCCCAGACCCAGGCTCCCGTCATCTCGTCTGGCAATGAACACTCGTCTGATCCCCACGTCGTAAGTGTCCCTGGTCACAAACGCTGATTTACTAGAGTCAATTCTCCCATACTGCGGAGACCACACAAACATGTCATCTTTATCGTTTTGTTTTAATGACGTCAGGTCGTCATTTTCACTGTATACTCCACTTGTTACACTTGTTCCATGCTGCGATATTAAGTCACCATTTTTATAACCATTATAGTCTACAAGGATTTTTTTCTCGCTGCCATGTGACACAATTTTGAATTTTCCCGAGGAGTCTTGAGCAATTACTTTCGGGATTTCTGTCATTGCGTTGTCACTGCTGTAGATCCGTAAATAAGTCTCGTAATTTGGGAACTGAATGCTACAGAGTCTGTGGAAATCTTCCTGGAGGGATTTCGGGATTCTGTTGCTGAGCTCCACCAGAAGTAGGAGTTTTTCGGTGGTGTTTATCACAGGTCTGAGCTGATGGCACAATGTAGGGACGGATCTTGTCTGCTGGAAGTTGTTGATGGCGTACTTAAACTGTCGATACTCAATGTCGGACAGCTGCTGCTGAGCCAGGTTTCGGAGGATCGCTTCTCCCCTCTGGGTTTCCCCCATGACAAGGGAGGATCGCTGTGGAGGGTGGGAGGGTACCGCTTTCTTTCTACTCTTCACCAGCGGTCTCCACGTCCTATGTTCTCTCTGTGGGTAAATTGCCTGGAAATATTTCATGTCTGTTAATTGATGCACTTCACAAATTGTGTAAAATATAAATTTTACAAGGTGATCTGTCACAAGTTATATAACTAATCTTCTCATCAATCTGTTGACTGCCTTTACAGGTAGTGGATGAGATAATTTTTTCTGAAATCAATGGAAGTGTTCAGATTTCTCTAAGGGTGGTATGTCTACTCCACTAATTGCTTGTGATCACATGTTACAATGATTACAACTTCCCTTGGGTAACACTTAATAGATGTATACACGGACAAACACAATAAAAACTTCCTCAATTATTACATTAAAACAATGCCTCTATAATGGCAAGAAGTCACAGAAAACTCAACAAGATCTGGGAATTGTCAAATTGTTATAATACTAAAGTTCCAGGTGACAAAAAAATATGAAATAATATCATCAGCACTTTTTTATGAGTGAACTTTTTCTTTTGTTCGCAAAATTTAGAGTAGGCAGATTGCAATATAAAAGTACACAGTCACATGACAATATATCCTAATCGCAGCATCAGTCAGTCATGAAAATTCATAACATGTATGAGACTAAATCAGTTTTTGTGCAATATTCTTTACATCCAAGTCACACTTGGTGAGGCAAGATTCTAACTGCAGAAATTTATGTCTGCCTCAGTGACCACTTTGTGTTTGACATTCGATAAAAATCTCTCCCCAGAATCTCACGACACAGCGACAGAAAACATCTTTTTATTCAATTATTCTGTCCAAAGTCAATATTAACAGAAATTGTTTGCATTACACAATCTTGATTCTACTGCAAAAACACTGCACAAAGAATCTGGGATCTTCCTTTCATATTAATGTTTACTGAGTAAGATTTTCCCACAAAAATCAAAATACCCCGAACGACATGTAGTCCAAGATTCAAAGGAAACGTCTTGATGTGAAAGTCAGACAGTCTAACAATTAATGTGGCTCTGTCATGACTAATTCATGGAAGGAAAAGTCAGTAAAAATAGTCAATAAAACTGTAAGATCAATAAAACCTCCCCTTGATGAAATAGCTACAAAGTAACTGTATAAGACCATATCCTTTGCCTTTTAGAAGTTGGTGATCCAAAACATCAACAAAAGGCTAGCTTAGCCTGCTTCCATTAGTAGCAATAAATACTGGATCTATAAATGTCTGATACAAAGGCAGGTCATCTAAGCATTCCAGTCAATGAAAGGTCACAAAAGGTGAATTACATCCTTGGTGGGGTGAAAGAGGGGAGGGGAGGGGGGTGTCTGTAAATTAAGAGACAATTGAAAGTGGATATATAAATCAAGAGAAAACTCTGATGATCTGAGGAAACTATTATGTGAATAGGTACACTTCTGCATGTTGTTAATTGACAGAAATTTACCTTCTATTCTACAAATTTCAAGAAGAGATTTGGTCAATACAAGGAAAAATTCTTTCTCTCATAGTAAACATGTATAAGGTACTCCACATGTAACTTTGAATATTTAGATATGTAACTATAATTACACTTTTTGTTAACTTTAAATCTTCAAATATTAAGGATGTTTTGAACCAAATCTGCTTAAACAGTTATTAAACACTTTCCTAATGAATAGCATTCAACTTGTACACTATATAAGGCTTAATTATCTTAATTTTTACATGCCATTATATTTCTAAATGCTTTAAATAATGAACACTTACACATTACAACAAAACTACAACCTATATATGAAATATTTTTAATTAACAATTAACACTTACATAACATAAAGACAAAATCCTTGCATCAAAATATCCAAGAATTTACTCTAAGTCCTAAAAGCCTTTAACAATAAGAAAAGTGTGGCCAAATTACATTCAGATGTCAGTATATACTTCAAGATCAAGACTTCAATTTGAAAATCTTTAAATGTCTATAAAAATGCATGGTATGGACACAATTCAAAATGGGGGCGTCTGTGATCATTTTGTTTTACACATTACCACTTCAAACAATGGTTTCTGGACACTCTGCCAGCAAAATTCGAAGATTAGAGTTCTGTGAGAAAAATGTGTTCGCTGGGGCATTAAGTGGACCAGAGAGAAGACTAGGGATTCCAAAGCAGTTAAAGTTACCACTGTATAAAGCGGCTTACTATATATAAGTTAGATCTGTCAAAGAGTTAGAGTACAGTGTGTAGGCAGAGCTCATTCAAAAAACAATGAACACAGAAAAACCACAAACAGAATGACTCATACAATGTTCCAATGTTTATACATGACTAATTAATACAGGTTTATTATGATGAACTTTTACTTTTTTAAAGTTGTAATTATTAACACATAATTTCTGTGGTTAATGAATCAATAAACTGCAAAGTGCTTAATATGAATGACAGAGGCATGCAGCCCTAATTTAAACATACTGGATTTGTTACAGTATTATATATAATGCTAAGCCAAGATCTTAAAAAGAGAGAGAGAGAGAGAGAGAGAGAGGGAGAGGGGAGGGAGGGAAAGAGAGAGAGGGGGAGTGAGCAAGTGTCAACAAGAGAGAGTGTAACAATTGGGAACAATTAATTTACAGTAAAAGCCTTACAGATATTGGTGTATATTAGGAGTGAAACGGTTCACCGCGGTATCGATTCACCGCGGTATTTTTTCTCGGTTTGATACACGGTGCAAAATTTTTCATTTTCGGTTTGGTTCATTTTTCGGTCAGGATCGTTATTCAGTCGGGTTTGGCATAAGGTAAAACACATTACTCAGTAAAATAAGTATAGAAAACATAAATTTTTTATGACTGATAGCTTGTAAAGTAATCTTTGACCGTCAAATAATTTTAATCAATTTCTTTTAGTCAATTTGCAAATAAAACTCTTAAAATATGTTACTAGATTTAGAAAAAGAAAGCTTAAAACAACGTTGAATTTGTTTCTTTCTATCAAAATGTATCGTATCGAAAATAACCGAACCGAGACAAAATTATACAATATGTATCGAACCGTGAAGGAGGTGTATCGTTTCACCCCTAGTGTATATACGTATTACAATAGAGGTGGAAGAATACTACATCCTTAATGAATACTGGACAATGTCAACCACTGTAAGATGTTTCCAAATAAAGTCAGACCAACCAAACAAATTTTAGCATTTAATAAAAAAAAATAAAATAAAACTTAATGGTACCTAAAATTCACAGTTGCAACATTGCTCATTTTCATATCATTGCAGTCACAACAAAAGATAAAAAAATATATATATGATATAAACTCTAAACAAATAAGATTATAGCTATATAGCTATTAAATATTAAGTAATAAGTACCTATATATAAGAATTACCTTGTCTTATAACAAATCCTTCCAAATAACAGAAAAGACTCAATTAAATCAAAATTTGAGACAACTATGTGGAAACAATTTAACTCCTTCAGTTAAAGGGTCTTAATGTGACATTTATCTCTGTTTTTTGTAAAAGAGAAAAAACAAAACCAATGAAGAGGAAATACCAGATGGCCTGTAAACCAACGGTTGTCTTCCTTGGGGGCAACAAGTGCGATGAAAATAAGTATAAAATGACCCAGGGCTAATTGTACAGTACGGTTTTATCTATTACGCTTTATGGTCAATTAATTTAAAGTATTTTCTTTCTTCTTTCTAGCTTGTTAACAGAGGGGTCTTTTTGTGCAAAAAATGTACTTAAGAGTTCAAAGTGAAGTTGACAAATTGATTGAAAATCTGACACCCCCCACCTGTGATCGATCACCCTTCTGTTCCATGTGTTCACCCCCGCCAGATCTCCAGGCCCTCCATTTCAGCTTAATTATTCCACGAGTTTACAGTCACAATTCATAGATTTCTCCATGATATTCATAAATTATATTCTTATTTCAAAGTTGATTAGACAATTAACTTTTCAGTATTGAATAATTAACTCTTGATCAGTGAATACATACTTGTTGTAAGGAAATGGCTTAATTTTTATCCAAACGTATTGATTGTTTTATTACTTTACTTTGCACATAAACACTAAATTCAGAACTGCATCATTATTTATATGTTTAAGAAATAATTAATTAATAATTAATTCAACAACACTTCTGTTTTTTAGTATATTACACATCCCTTTACTACAAGGAGTGCAACTTTTGTTTTTCAACTACGTAAAATATTGTGCATGCATCTTCTAATGACACGAATGTCGAAGTCTTAATTAAACTGACAAAAACACTTTTGCATGCAAAATCGAATCTTCTGTCTCATGTCCTTCAGGTGTAACAGTATAAATAAGCCATTAATTTAATACAGGTGGGATGTTTACACAAATGATTAACACACCTATCAATTGTGTGAAAATTCTGAAATTCTGCTCTTTAGTTTAAATAGGTCAGGTCATTTGAAGGAGTGAAAAGATCTTTAAAGAAAATATTGTTGTAGTCTGGTGCCCCTACCATGAATAATTAGTTCTTTCACCCCCCCTTGCTTTATAATACTGTAATACACCTCCAGTCAGCTATTGCTTTACCTTGTTCAATGTTAAATCTTTTAGGCACATAATAAGTGGGGAGAACAAAAATGAATACAAGAATAATAGAATTACAGAAACCCACCCCAGGACCACTGTTCTATATATACCCAACCTACTTCCAGTCAATTTGTGTTAGCATTTCATAAGTCCTTAAAGTGGGAGCTTAATTTATTGCCATAACTGCCAAGAGTTACTGTGGTATATCTCTTAGTGAATATTGTTCTTAATAAGCACCGACCAAAAATCTTTTGACATGTACATTAAACATTATTAAGAACAGATGCATTTATACTATAAAATAAACTGAATTAAGTGTGCATAGATAACTTAAAATATAATGTTGATTAAAATTCAAAGACCTATTGGTTCATTGATATTAACTGTACCAACATACTGGCCAGCAATAAAAAACAATCTAATCTGAACTAAGGGTGCATTGTTATTAAAATTATTAATAAGCAACTTTACTGAACATTTAGGTGAGGAATTAAATGCAACTGTGGTATATTTCTTAAACTGTTCTTTCTTTTTTTTCAAATTAAAAGTTGATCAAGTACAGTTTTAATACCCCTCAAGGTAAAAGACCTTTAATTTCTCAACTGCACACATAAAAACCCCGTCCATTAATCACTTTGATTGCTCTGTGGTCAAACTGAGTTAATTAATTAAAGCCAAATTAAGTGTTACCTTCCCGATGTCTGGCATTAATCGAACATGTCCATGTATTGTCCATAAGTACCTAGACTTAGCCATCACTGGTAGTTAAAATCACAGATTTTAAACTCCTCCAAAATAACGTGGCAGAATGAGAAAACAATTAATATGTCTAATCAATCAATAAGGCATTGG